CCCTACACGGAAGTTTTTTTTTTACCATAATCCTTATGTGCGCCAAGCGATCTCCTCAAATATAGCCAAAGATAGACTCATGTGTTCTTTCAGATTTTTGTATTTCCTCTCATCTTATAATCTGTTTGACGAAAATGGCAGTGACACTGGTGTTTGGTAGGACTCGTTTATCATACCTGCACTGCACCAGATACTTGAGTCTGCGTAACAATCAACACTTAATATTGATTTTCATTTGGTGAATCTTTTCTTTTCGTCAATATGCTTTTCTCAATTTGCTGGCGAATTTTAACAGGATACTTGCTTCTGATACATTTGGTGCAATTAATGTCTGGGATAGAAGAGTGAATGTTCTACCTTGCCTTGAGTTCGAATCTGCTTCATGTTTTACGCTTAACCGCATCCAATTAAATGCAGATAATCAGGTTCGGAATTTTATCTAGTCTATAGAGTAATTATGCAATTCTTTGGTATGATGCATTTTTTAACTCCGACTTCTCCCTTTTTCTAGACAAATGCAAAATGTGTTCTCAAACAACACATGTCAAGGATTCAAAATATAAAATCAATTGAATGCAATTTGCACATTTTAAGTTACTAAGTTGACTTTTAAGGGTGTATTGGACTAAAACTTTAAAATACTTTTGTTTTTATTTTTTTTTATAAAAAGGAATTATGATATTTAATCAATTTTTTTAACATAAAAAAGTCTTATATTATTTAATTAAGATAATCAATTTTTTTAAAAAATATGTCAAAATTCAGTAGTACTTAATTAGACTTTTTAAAAAAATATGATATTAAAAATATACAAATTTCGATGAATTTTGTAAGAATTTATACACAATACACTCATTCAACATTCACTTACAAAATCTTAATTTTGTGTGACTTTTTTATTTCTCCTTTTTTTTTATTTTTAATCTCTTCAAGCATCTTTCTGTTTCTCCTCTTTTCTCTCTCCTCTTCTCTTTCATCTCTCACATATGAGTCCTCTATATTTTTTCTCTTATCCTTCTTTTATCTATCAATATTGATGTAAAATTTATCAATATTTATTCTTTTGAATTAAATATATTTAAAATTATTTTTAATTGATAAATATTATCTATTATTAAATATTTAAAATTTGAATAATGTATATTTTCGATAAAATTTACTATTAAACATACCTTTAAAAATAGTTTTTGCATATGGTGAAAATTATATTGTGTTGTCTTAATTAAAGCTTTTGAATTAAATTTTTCAATCAAAACCATTATAAAATAAAGGAAATTTAAATCAAGAAAATTTATGTTAGCACGTGTTTACCAGAAAGAATGCCATTGTTGATGAACTTAAGGTCAAATTGTTCGATCTTTGGCGGAAAAATCCTTAGTTAGACTTTGTTTATTTCTCGACTGAGTTAGATTAGTCTAAGGTGAAGTCTTGAAATATTGATGCGAAATATAAAAAAAAAAGAATGTTTATTGATGAATTTCCAATTCAACTGTAACCAATTAACGAATATTAAATTTTTGAACTAATTGTTCAAAACCAAAGAGCATAAATAAAATGTCAATGCATGGAGGACTATATGTAAAGAAATCCTTCTTACCAAAACATGAAACACTTGAATCAATTATTTATTAAAAGATTGAAAAAATTGTATTTGCTTACTTTTCTTTATTTAAAATTTATCATTTATGTTATGTTTTTTATTAATTGTATTGTTTTTAAAAAAATTTACGTTGTTTACTGAAATCTCAGTCATTTCAAATCTTGTAAAGTCTTATATATAAATCTTTTAAAATCTAAATTAAAAAATCTTAATTATAAAATTCTTTTAAAAAATTATTCTCATTTGAAGTAATAAATCAAAGTTTGGTACTAAAATTCCCCCAAGATTGATATTTTTTGTCCCATAAATAGGTGTTTATAATTCTTATTGAAACGAGCCATTTCACCTAGTCTACTTAACCTTGATAAAATTCCAGTCGATAACATAATACATGTGTTGTTGGATTAGGTTTTGGTTTGAACGAATTTTGGAGTACTCATTTACTGTGTTCAGTTAGTATATTTTGAAATTGAAAATAATGATTATTATATCCTTTCCAGATTATCTATGGCGCTGGGAAAGATGGGTTCGTGTATGTATGGGATATTCGTGGTGGAAGAGCATCCGCTACTTTTCAAAGTCACAAAGAGGTTATACTTATACATAGTGGTTGTTCTTTCTAAAATGCTATGAAAAAGACACATAAATACTACTTGGACACTCTGTAATGCATCCACTGCGTTGGTGGTCTAATTGAAGAGACCATGCCTGCTTAGGCTGAGGCAAATTGCATTCAACTTGGCTCCTCATTTGTTGGCTTACTTACAAGTTCAAAGCTTAGTCTTAAGTGTATTTTCAAGAATCAAGTATCTCAAAAGTTTAAGTTGTTAGTTGAAGACACATAAATGGTTTTATCTGATGTTTTTAACGTACCTTTTCACGCAAGAGTCTTTGGGCTTGTAGTGATTCAGAGTATGAGTAGTGAGTTTACTGTGCGAAGTCATCTAATTTATAGGCAAGTGATATCTGATTTATTGGAATAACATGTCCTATAATCAGTTGCATCAATTGTAATAAATCTATATAAATCAAGCTCCGTGTTGTCATTTTATACACGGTTTCTGCAACTATGCCTACTCTATTTTAAATATGGTATCTAGAGATAGGTTTAGGAGACTCCAGAAACTGTGCCTACAAGGTGGAATCACTGTCCTCTGACAAATTTTTTTTTTGGCATGTTATAATCCAGTTTGCCACTTCGATCCGCTGCCAACTTCTAGTCACCGGTGACTTCTTGACGACTTTCCCACTATCCTGTAGACTTTTTCTTCCCTCTTGGTTCTTCTAATCATGGCTTCCTCTAGCTCTACAAATCCTCCCAAGGCAGAAGGCCCTCTTTTCTCCAATTTTGTCCTCTCTATCGAGAACTTCGGTGGTTCCAATTACGCCACTTGGGCCTCTGAAATCATTAGTAGTCAAGGGTACAAAGACCATCTCACCAATACCGCCGATACCGTAGCGGCAGGTGATCGCGGGAAAGTAGACTTTTTCTTCCCTCTTGGTTCTTCTAATCATGGCTTCCTCTAGCTCTACAAATCCTCCCAAGGCAGAAGGCCCTCTTTTCTCCAATTTTGTCCTCTCTATCGAGAACTTCGGTGGTTCCAATTACGCCACTTGGGCCTCTGAAATCATTAGTAGTCAAGGGTACAAAGACCATCTCACCAACCCCGCCGATACCGTAGCGGCAGCTGATCGCGGAAAATGGGAAAAGATTGATACCCAACTGTGTAGTAGTATCATTAAGTGACCCTCCATCCATCCATCAAACCTATTTTTCGCCCTCATGTGACCTGCGAATCAGTTTGGTCCAATGCCCGAGTGCTCTGCACCAATGACACTCAATGCCTTTATGACGGGTGTCACAATTTAATGACTCACATAGGTCCACAGAAGTTTGATGGTTCTATGTCGGCCTATCTTGGTCGAGTTCATGATGCTTTTCATGACTTCAATGAACTCTTACCTCGCGCAGCCTCTAATCAGGCTGAAGCTAAGAAGGAACTTGAAAATTGCAGCACATTTTTCATGTTCTTTGTACTTTATGGCTTGCCTCCGGAGTACTCTACCACTGGTGACCAGATTCTGGGGTCATCCATGGTCCCCAGTCCCCACTATGACCACGACATCTTCGGCTCTTCTCCAGAAACACTGGGCTAAAGATTACTGGGGAAGATAAAAACAGTTTCGTATGTGGCAATTTGGCAATCAAATTGTCTTGCCTCAGTTTACGTTGATTTTGGATATTACAGTAATATCACATGGCCCAATGGTGCCGATGAAGTTACACTATTTCTTTGGCTGATATTGCGATTATGATGTTAAAATACTGTTCTATTGTCGATATGTTATATATCTGCCTAAATACGTGGGATATAAATTGTAGCATATAAACATTGATGCAGAAGCTCGTGACTTCTTGACATATGCCTTTTTACCACTTAAATTTTTGATCTTATCACCTTTGTCCATACTACCTTTTACAGCAGAGGATGTATTTAATCGCGACATACTTTTGTTGAATGAAGTATGACTTATTGGGCAACTTTTGTAAAATATATTTTACAATGCTTTTAGTGATTTTATTCTTTATTTGGCTTTCTAGATACGCCATCAACCTGTAACATCAGTGAAGTTGGCAACATTGCTAGAGAAGATTGGATCTTTGAAGGTGTAGTTGTCCTTCCTGCTTGTATCTATTACTTTTGTGTGCTTGTAATGTCTAGAGCTACATATGAATGATTATTTTTCGTGATGAGAAATATAGCTTCTGTAACTTCAATATCATAACCAAGTCATATCTTATTTGAAGTTTGGTGTTCTAGTAGGACTAGTTTTCACTGCAGGCTTCTCTCTAGACATTTAAAGTATTTTGGGGATTTTTTTCGTCTTTTTTTTGAATTTTAGTTGTGTATTAATGTATTTTTAGGTAGGGTTTGGTTCCTAATCTTTGGTGCAAAGCGCATGTCCTTTACCAACCTTTGCTTTATATGCATGATTTATGTAAGCTGCTGCAGTGGAATCCACATGTGCGCGCACATACACATACTTTTTTAATTTCTATTTTACTTCCTCTCTTGAAATTTCCAGTCGTGATATGAATAAATTAGCGATGTAACGTTGTTCTTAATGAATATCAGTGATTATACAACTATAAAGACAAAAAATTGACAGTATTTATAGATAAATTTTATATGCTTTTCTCAGATAATGTTGTCCATAATTTTATTCTACCGTGATTTAGAAGTTGTGAACTGACTATATTATCTGAGAATGTTCATTAGATTTCCTATGCCTGATAGGCATACATATGGGTCAGCTATCGGTGCTCGTAATAGTCACTTGTTTGATATAATATCACTGCATGTCAGAATGTGTTACGAGCCTAAGACCGATGTCATGCTTGTGACTGAGTGACGTTAGGGAGAATTCAACTGTACAAGTATTAATTCTTCACATCAATGGCAATAAGCATATAGTTTGCAATACGATGTCTAGATTTTACCATGTGATAATTGTCTTCTGCATACTAGCTGACTTGCAGTTAATATGGCTAGCCATTCTTATTGTATGCAGGCACAGGCAGATATTGTTCCCAAGGAGATTCACTCTATCGATATTAATCCATCATGCCCATATCAGTTAGCATTCCATATTGTCGATGGTTGGTAAGTTGCCAAATGTATTGAAGGCTGTTTAGGTGTTTTCCTGCCTGCCTGGTTTCTTTCTTCAGAGACTGTTAATAAGGAGAATTTCCATAATTATATCCTCAAAAAGTTCCTATCATTAGACTATAAACTAAAAGCAGAACTTAATTCCTTATCACATGATCGGTTAATGTTGTTTCTGAATGGCCTCATTTTCTTCAGTGTTTGATTTTGAAATAATTAGTTTGTATTTAATATTTATTATCTACCTTTAAACAGTGTCATTTGATGTCGGTAGGGGTTATGTACATCAAATGTAGTTGTTTGCTACTCTTCTGTTTACTGAATTTTACTAGTCAATAAAAAAGCTTCACTACATTTAATTCTTCGTTGTGCTAATTTTTTCCTTTAATATTTTCATGTAGGTCAGGCGTTTTGGATATTAATAATTTTCAAGTTACACATATACATTGCCCACCCCCTTTTTGGTTGTAAGTTTCAGTTTTCATTTAGAGTCACTTTGTTGAAATTTGTGAAATGGATTGTCAAAATATGTCTGATTATTTTGTTTTCTGTGTTTTTTTTTTGTTAGAAACGATACCTATGTTCACCCTGATCTATCATATACAGCAAAACCTGCATGGTTATCAACGTGTTCGGTAAGAAATTTTATTGAATATAATGCATCTACTTTACTTTTTCACATGATTCCCAACAAAACTTTTACCTCTAGTCATATTGGCTAGCTTATACTTATAATCAGTTTCTACCTCTAATATAGTACCTGTGACAAATCTGGTGGCAGTTTGGGTGTTTAGATTGAATTAACTATAGAGCGATTATATCATTCACAAAAAAAATACAATTAATAGTCTATTGTATATCCCTGTTAAGCACATTCACGATTTGAGATTATATAAGTAAGGACTTAAGGGCTGAATCTTGATGTAATCCTATCCCTTTAAGTCTCTTGGTCTCGACTCCTGAAGAGAGTTTCAAACCCGAATGAGTGAAAGATATAGGGATTATTGGATCAGGTACCAATACTTTTACAATATGTCAAAACCTCAATAAAAAAATATAGTGACCAATATAAAAAGAAAAATACAGGGATCAAAAGATAAATGGATGAAAGTTATACGGAAGAAAATTTTATTTATACGTTATTGTTTATTTTAATCTTTGCGGTGTGTTTGGTTCAGTTAAGAATCTCTAAATTATGATTTTGACAATGTTATGAGAAACAAAGTTTTGCCAAAATAATAATTCGAAACTTTTTCAAGGAAGAGCCAAATAGTAACATACACTTATTCCGTTTTTTTGTCTTCTAAGTATGAGTTCTCATTGTAAGCATACTTTCTTTCTAATCATTCACGAAATAATTATTTCTGTTGTAATCTTGTACAGATCTATGTGGCTGAGTCATCATCTGGTTCTGGCATTAATCTCCTAGATTTCTATCCCAGCGCCAACTCACCTAGCCATGTGGATTACGAGTAAGGGACTCCAACAATGAGAGACGTTTACTAATAGACTCCAAAGTCCCTGTTATAACTGCAATTGAACACTTAATTGAGAAAGCGCACTTACATTAAAATGCACATTATTCAGATCAAATTAACCACATTATTTTATAGTGAATGCCAATTATCTAAGTGTTCATATGCCCAAATTTAGTTATCAAGCTGCAATGCGCAGTTTTCTTTTCTCAATATTTTAATTTTCATTCTTTACAGGGAGGATATGCAAGAAATTTCGAGGCGAAACAACCAAAGTAATCAGAACAGATTTATTTCTTTATCTGAAGGAGCTATCTCATGTGCCGCTCACCCTTTGTATAATGCTATCGTAGTGGGAACTAAGGTTTGTGTACAAAAAAATTCAATTATCGTCATTCTTTAGTCGGTTTGTTTAAAATAAAAAAGAATGTATAAAAAGTGATTTTTCAAGAAACAAATTGGAGTTGTTTCTTAAAACAACAAAAAACACGACACCAAAAAAAACACACAAGCTTTTTTTTTCTTTCTTTTTTTTCTTAAATAAACACAAAAAAATAGAACATTGTTTATTTTATTCAAAAAAGTTTTTTCAAAGTTAAAATAACATTTTTTAATAAAGTATTCATAGAACTTTATGCGTTTTAAATTTGAAGATGTTTGGAGCAACTTTAGTGGTAGAATGTTAAGTCCAAAATACCGTATCTTAACTTTGAATACCATTTATTGTAAAAAAAAACTGAATACAATTGGAGAGCATTTATGTGACAACCTCCCTATCTTAAAATTAAGCTACATTGCTTGTATAAGCAACGGTAGCTTATGAATAAAATATCACTTTCTTTGATCAACAACCTAAGGCAAAAAAAGTGGGAAAAAACAGAATCAGTGGAGGGAAAACATCAGAAATTGCTCCCCTATGTAATCAGAAAAACATACCTAAATATAATTAAGAACAACCTCATTGTGGTGTTCTTAGCTTCATGATGTACATGTCTGACGACGTCAGTTTCACGAACCGGTTTTCAATTAGCTCTTCCGAAATCAACCTCG